CCGTCATCGCCCCGCCCTCCCCCTTCAGACGTCAATTGATGCATTGATGGGAAGCGTCCCCTTGGAGCACATCCGCCCCGTGAGCGTGGCGCGGCGCTGCGCGTCATTGTGGTCCTTGCGGCCCCCGAGTCTGGGCTTTTGTCAGCCGGGCCCGCCAGGCCCTGTAGGGCGGGCGGTGCGTAGCGGCGCGGCAGGGGCGGTGTTGCCAAGCAATGAATTCCAGCACCCCCCATGCCCCCCCCCCCCATCCCGTGCCCGGGGGATGTTGATCCCCGTCACCCCCTCTCTCCCCTCCCCCGCTTTGGCCGCTCAACTCTCGCAGTGCATCCGCAGGAAGGAGAAGGTCCACCTCCAGGAGATGACCCGGCGCACCTGGCAGCGCAAGTGGGGCTTCCTCGCCGAGCAGGAGCTGGCCTTCAAGCAGGAGGCGGCCGCGGTGCGCGTGGACCCGCGGCGCGTGCGGCCGCGCGGCGAGCACCAGCACAAGCGGCACGACGCCATCCTGCCCTCGCCGCCCATCCCCCTGCTGAGCTCGGGTAAGCTAGGGGGCAACGACCGCCAATGCAAACGAATTGAAGTAGGTGATTTGATTGCTCCACCCCGTCCCGTATACCCGCCGCGCCTCACGGAGTGCCTCCTGCCGCAGGTCTGGTGGGCTGGCGCTCCTCGCAGCCCGAGCTGAGCCTGGAGCGGGTGGGCGCGCTCTACAAGTCCCCGCTGCGGACGATCGACCCCCCGGAGCAGCCCGGCGACGTTCCCCGGGGCAGGCAGTCGTTCATCTTCCTGGGGTAGTCTAGTCTGTGTCCGGCGGCGCGGGCTGCGCTGCGGGGGAGGGAGGGAAGAGGGGGCGCGCCGGGCTGGTCCTCGCCGAGCCAAGCCGAGCGGGAAGAATTGTTCTTCGTTAATACTCTGCGCTGGCGGGCGCGCCGCCCATTCCACTGCGGGGCGCGGCTAGACGACTTTAATTGCCCCTCCGGTCAGGTGATATTGTTTTTCCACGACCTCGGGTACAACAACGCTCCGCCAGAAGCAGCGCGGTCCACGCGGTGCGAGGGACACAATTTTGTAAGGTTTCTTTTCTTTTTGTACACAAGTTTATCTTAACAGTTTATATTTCATTTTTTGAAATCGGAAATTTTACATTTTTGTTCTTGGCACTTTTGTACCCCAATTTTTTGTTCAGCATATTTACATGATTTACAACGTTCTTAGAACTTTCCATATTTAAAAGTGTTTTTAATTATTTGGAAGAGAAACATATTTGTTAAGACTTTAATCAAGTTTGTAAAAATAAACGACGTGGGTTCAATGAAGAAAAACATGTGTCATTTACGTCTGTATTTATTTTCTCGTCATGATTCCTCTTATTTTGCGGTCGCAATACGAGCCTCGAGCCTCACATGCCGAAACGCTTCTTGTGCAGCGCGGGCGGGAGTTGCTTGAGCAGTCGGAGCGGGCTCACCTCCACGGCCACCACCTCGTCCCCGGAGAGCCAGCCGAAATACACCAGGTGCTGCCGAAGAAAGAAGGGACAAAGTAGGAAAAGAAACAAAAACGCAAACACGACGCACGCGTACACCAAACAAAAAGGGGAGGGGGGGAAAACACAAGAAAACTTGGGGTGAATAAAACGCACCTTGTAGCGCTTGATGACGTGGAAGGCGTGCTCAGGGCTGCTGGTTCCGGGGTGCGCACGCTGCTCAGCCTCGTCCGTCTTCAGCGGAGGGTCCAGGCGCGGTATCTTGGCCTCGGCCGGTGCCAACTCCTGACGGTCAGAAAAAAGAAATTACGCGGGGTAGAACAACAAGCGAGGTAGGAGAAACGTTTTTTGAACCAGGTGCGGGCCCGTCTGGCTACGGCCACAGGGCTGACACGCCAGGAGAGAGGGGGAGAGCAACGGGGGAAGGGGACGACGCGGGGTCGCAAACAGTCCAGCCCGGCGCGCCCCGTTCCCGCCCCCGCCCGGGGGCCCGTCGGGCCGGGCCGGGCCGGGCCGGTCAGCAGCGCGCACCATTTGCCAGCCTCATTGTTGTGCCGTTATGACGCGTCACACAATAACAACGCATGCGGCCGTTTGTCGCTAAACGGCGTAATTGTCTGCCGGCCCGGAACGATACCCTGGCGGCGATCATTAACGCCGCGTAATCATCAAAGACAACGATTAAAAAGAGAAAAGAGGGGAGGGGTCGTCGGCTCGATTTGCACGGGGCCGTGGACGATTCGTCTCGCTTCGCCTGCGGCGCGCCTACCCCTCTCCCTCTCTCTGGCTGGCCGAGCGGGTGGACAGAACACGCCCCGTCCGCCGCAGCCAGTGAGCCACGCCTACGCCTGTCCGTCGGGCTTGCCGCGCCCCGACGGCGGGTCCCGGCTCGGATGGGGATTATCCAGATCGTACGCCCTTCATTTGGCCGTCAGGAAACTGTAAGCTCTCGGAGCGCCCGCTAGGTAGGCAAAATTGTGCCTGCAACGCGTACGTGTACTGCAGGGTGGCCTACCCCGAGTCTCGCAGGCGACGAGCTCCCGTATTTTACCGATTGAATCTGAGAAAAACGGGGGTACTTTCTGGCCTGCAAGACACGTGGGACGGCAGCGGGTATGCCTATAGACAGCGAGGCAGAAGATTGGCCCACAATGTGGCGGCAGTCCCTCAGAGAAGCCCTGTGCACTTGCGCGCCATGCATGTCACTTTATGAAGCCAGGCAGGTGTGAAGCGACAAAGGGCTTTCGCAAATCTGAGGCAAGAGATACGCCCCAATTTCGGCATCTCTGTCTGCGTCTACCGTGCCACGGTTGAGCGGGTAACCTCGTAAGTTTCCCCGAGAATGCGCCAGGCGGGGTGAGTGTAGTGTCCACCACCGCGCCGCGCCGCCAGCTTCAACCCGATCGAGTCCGGCTCGCGGGGACGACGAGGGGGCGCGCCGGGAGCCGCAGAGACGGCGGCCGAGTCCTAAACGACGCTGCTTCCCGAAGTGTACCCAGACGACCCGTACTCGCTGCACACAATAAAGCCGGATGTCGGCCCTGTTGACAATGCATGCTCCACGCTCCGCCACGCCCCGCCACGCCCCACGTAGCGCTCGCAATATTCAGCGCCCTTCCCTCCCCGGGCCACGCCAGGCCAGGCCCCGAGGGCGAGTTCGCCCGACTCTGCGCCTGTCCGTCCGTCCGTCCGTCTAGCCTCCCCTATCGCACACACGGACGGCAGTGTAGGTGTGCAGGGTAGGGCCGAGTGCATCCAGGCAACCAACCAGCGGGGGAAGGAAGGGGAGGGTCTACAAAAGGAAGGGGAGGCGGAGGGGCTGATCATAAGGCATCGTGTCGGCACTGCTCAATGTAGTGTGCTGTCTGATTGCTGCACGGATCCCCTCCGTTCGGAAGGACCGGCGAAGAGGGACGGTCGGGTCGGGCAAGAGAGGAGGAGGAGAGGGGTTTCTACTTACGATATCATCTTGTCAGGGACCGGACATAACCCTCCCTTCGAGACTCGAGGGACGAGCGAGGGGGAGGCAGAGGTGGAAAGAGGGGAAGGGGGTTG